GAAAGGAGAGGGGGCTGTCCCTGCCCTCCCCCACCTTATGGCAAGTCCTTTAATGGTTGGTGCTTGATAGTCTCACAAATCCCCCCCCCCACTTTGAAAATTTTTCTGCTGCTATTGCTGAGCATAAATGCATACCTCTTTACATTACACTCCCACGTCAGGCAGGGAAACCAAAATGATTTGTTGTTTCTCACAAAGTGTCTTTGCTTGTACCATGGAGGAATAAACCACATGCTTGTACCAGTACTTCCATTTCAGTTTATGAAAACCACAGTGATAAATTTGAGGTTTTTTATGTCTGAGGTTTTCAGTGCCTTTGTGTAAGCATTTACCCAAGGGTAGAATTTCCTGTCGTTCCTGTTTCCTCACCCTGTGGTGATCCAATTTTTTAAAAATAAATGGAAAAAAATTGTAGCCCCCCAAAAAGCGTGGCTAAACTTTAACATGGCAGTGCACTTTCAATATTGGTGCAGTACAGTAGTTGTTGCATCAGTGTTGGAGGGAGTCAGGTTTTTTGAAAATGATTTTGGCAGTTCTGTTTCAGTTCACTGTTTTGTTTTTGTTTGTTACTTTCTTGTATTTTAATTTCTTTTTGCTTCAAAATGGTCAGAGATGTGGACTTATAGCTGCATGTATTGGAGTGTCAGTGAACAGACCTGTCCTCACACTTTGCACCGGAAGTATTCTCGGCCCGGTTCCCGCATAATGTACACATGTATGTGCAACATATAAACTTTGGAAATGTACATGTACCAAACATGTACTTTCACTGCTCCGCCCGATGGCATGACAGGGGGAGGGCAATTCCTCCCCAGTGGATGCCCCTGTCCCCTCCCCATTTGAAATCTATGAATAATCTCTATTGAAATGTAGCTTAGGCTTACTTTCTCATGGTGCCCCCTTGAAAAAATATGTACAGCCCTGGGTGCCCCCACCCCCACCTCGGACATTTAGCACTAGTTACACCACTGGTTCTGCCCCTCTCCCTATGCTTTTGTTTTCCTGACTATGTGATAGTAATGGTCTAAGGAAGACAGATGGCTGCAGCTCAGAGTGTCAAGCTGCATCCTTGGGGGGACTTGATGGACTGGTGAATGCATACATTTGGGAACAGAAAGTGTCAGTTTCATTGGAGGCATGCACTATTTGTAGTGGATTAGGATAGCAGTTGGATCTAGGTGAAGCGGGGATTAAAGGCTCAACTCTGGAAAAGTGAGCGCCGTGACAGTGGCTTTTAGGCACAGATGCACTTTCTCAAGTCACAACTAGAGTAAAAAAAACCAGTGTACATACATGTATGCAATACATGTACTGAAGGCCGGTTCAGACATCCTACAAATAGGAAAGCATAGCAAATTTGACTTCACAAAATGTTTACAGAAAAATTCACTAGAGATGAAATACCGGTATACATGTGTTCAACTTTTTGCGAATTTGCAGTTCTGTTTAAAATTGACACCAACAAATCTGTTCACGTTTACTTTCATGCCAAATATGAACTGATCCTAAAGCTGGAATTTTTATGTGCATCTGCTGTAACCCAATTTTAGACTTGCTAGGGCCATTTTTTTGGGGGGGGGCCGGGGGAAGAGGCAAAACATTCATCAGTTCTGTAGTAGAATGACCAACAATAAACAGTGATAGAGCAGTCAATTCTTGGACAGTTCTGAAGGAATTGGCAATTTCCATCCATTAATACTTTTTATGTTCTTTCCATTTTCCTTGATGTTTTCTTTTCTTTCTCCTGTACGTACCGCCGGTACTTCCAGGAGTGACAAGTGCTCCCTCATATATTCCCTCACGACACCCATGAACATAGAGCACCACGTAAAACTTGTTTCTTGTATGCCCAGAATTTTAGGCAGAAGTGTCAGAGCTTACTGAAATCCATGTTACAAAGGCATTGTATCAATATGACTGTATATGTCACCATTCACCTTGCAGAGTACAATGTTTGTGACCACATTTGTGCATGTTTTGTGTGCATGTACATGTACATGTACTGTACATATACATGTAAATTCTACATGTTGCTATATTTAGAGGGTGTGGTAGCAACGATAAAAATTTCTAGAAAGTATATAGTATGAGTAGAAATGAATGCTCTTACATCTTTTCAAAAGAGTAGGGATATTCCTGCAAAAAGAGTTGAGAAGAAAACATCCGTCAGTGTCATTAGAGCCAGAAATTTGAAGAATTCTGCCTACCTTCCTGGCGGAGTAGTGGGTGAGGGGGTTGGCCTGGTGTTTTTGACTTTGACACGAAGCCCATAATTTATTTCCTTTTTTCCCAGTATTCACTAGCCACATACATGTGCACGTACACCCATTTATACTGTTCACTATATAATGTTACACAATGTTGTAACAACTCATACTGGAATGTAGTAATTAGTAATTGGAGATTTACAGTGGACAGCATAAACATACATGTGTACATGTGTAAGTGAATAATACATGAAGCAATTTACTAGATTGTGTGATGCATTCTAGCTAGGGTAGATCTAGAGCAAAATGTTGAGGGAGGGGCTGAAGTAATTGGAGGAGTTCTTAATTTGTTTCTTTATGTATTGGTAACTTTATAGGCTTTCTGAGGGATGGTAATAACTTTTTTTTATAAGGTGAAGGCTGAATATGGGAAATGAAATAGGCCATATAATTGTCTTCTTGTCTTTAAATCTCTGCACTTCATTTCCCATTTTGGAGGTGGTGGCCATGGCCGCCTTCTGGAAAAACTCTATACTGCTGTCAGTGACTGAGACAGGATTTTTCAAAGCGGGATAACTGATATCTGAGGGCCAGTACTGTAGGCCTAGATGTACATGTACAGTACATCACATTCATACGTGTGTTATAACACCAAAGGCCTTATGCTGTGAACTAATTGTATTTTGAATTTTGGTTTAGTGTGTGGTATTCCTTTTTTGAAGGGAAAATTCAGGATTTTTTCCTGAGATATTTATTCATAGTACCCCTGAACACTTGATGTCCCTTTGAATTAGTGGTACAAGTTTTACCCGATCAGGTTCTTCAAAATCAGAAATCCCAGTTTGAACTGAAAAGGTTTCTATTCTGATATTAGGACATAACATGAATATTCTGGTCATTGTTTGAAAATGTTTATGGAAAATCAAAAGTTGAGAACACTAATTCAATTACCAGTAGATGGACCAGTAACTTAGTCCAACGGAACTTGACATGCATGAAGCATGTAGAACACAATTATCAGTAGTTTGTAAAATAACAAGTCCTACAGTGCATTGCAATCTGGTTGTAGAAAGCATTAGACCCGGTTCAGTGATCCAAGGCATTTGAAAGCGTGACCAGAGGCTTTGAAAGGGCCATCAATTGAGGAACTGTTCTACAAAGAGGCTTTAAAATGAAGGGGACGCAGTGAAGGAACCTTACAAGTTCCCTTTGAAGACAGTGGGTGGATCATTGGTCCCCTTCGTAACCTCTCTGGAGAGTCAGCAAACAAAATAAGCATGCATTCTGCTTGTACATGCACCTGTACGTGTATTTTTTAAATGTACGGTAGTGCTCCAAGCACCCACCCCTATACAGTAACAGGAATGGTGCAGGGATGTGGTTCCTGATGCCAGGATGTGGAACTAAAACATCTGGATGTTAGACATTTATAATCATTAACATTTACCATTTACCAGAAATTACGTGCAAGATTGTCATAATCACAGGACATTTTGGAGAGATCTCTTGCCTTTTTGACAGCTGTTAAAAAGCCATGTAAAATTACAGTGTGTTATTATTGCCTTGGTTATAACCCTGTGGATTTTTCTTCTCCAAATCTCTACCCTGTTGAAAGGAAAACCTCCTTGTTTTTCATTTTTTTTTGTCCTTAGTTCCAGCAGAAGTGTACAGTAAAAACAGCTTGTGTCTGGAAGTCTGCGATTAAAAAAGATTGCATTTTACACATGTGTTTGTACCATCTAAGTTGCTTCTGAAAGTAATTCAATTATGCATGAGTGCTGTTCCAGATGTTTTTCATGGATTATATTGCACTAGAAAATCCTACTGTTAAGTTTTTAATAAAGATTTGGTTCCTTAAAATGTAGGATGATAACTTCCTGAGAGACTTTGTTAGACATTTGGTAGGTATTCTCGAGTGGGACACAAACCTGCAGTCTTACGCTTTGCCAGTGGGAACTTTTCAACCACCGAAACCTCCCAACTGCCAAACTAAATTTCCAGCATTGGCTGTAGACACATGTCCAATGTACACCTACGTGTATTAACTCCTACAAAAGGGGAATCTTGGTGTAGAGTGTGTCTGCCCTAAGGAGAGAGTCACTATTTGTGTACCAGGTTATGAAATTTTCAAAAATGTCATCTATCATCCGTGATGTCATGTGTCACCGCTTTTGTTTTCAATACTAGTGGCTCTTGAGTGAGCCGGAGGAGATCTAATGTATTTTTGATCTAATGGATTTTTTCATGGACCAGTGTGTGTCTCTGAGAATTAGTGAGATGACATTTAACTGCAGCACTCATTATGGTGAAGCCACATGATCCCCGATCACACTGTGACATTGTGGAACCAGCAAGCCAGCGACCAGACCGTAGAGTCACGTTTTATTCATTTCCCATTAAAATTAATGGGAAAAACAGTCTGTTTCTAAAGCAACAGTATTTGACATCCCTTAATCAGTATCATTTTTTATTGATTACTATTTTCCACGTTACCTGCACAGAGCTATGGTACATAAATCACCTTGATTTCTTGAATTGTTTTCAGAAGCTCCCAGACCCATGAAGTTGCTTACTGTAGGCAAAGAATCTCTGCATACTACAGTGAAAATTATGCAATATAAGCATATTTTGTATGTTGGATATTAATTCTTACACCGTCCACTGACATTGCTCCCAGGAAAAAAGAAATCATGTTCCAAAAAAGAAAGAAGTATTGCTTCAGCAGAATTATGAAATTGAGATATTTGGCCACAACTTTACATTGGTAAATAAAGTTTTTTGTTTCTTTTTCAGAGTTCTGTGTTGAGTTGCCCTGCCATTTACTTTGCTCCAATTGTCTTCAATTCAAGGAGAGAGCTTACACTCAAGGAGAAACATCTGATAGACTATGAGCCAAGCAGACACTGAGACTGTCTTCATCATGGCAGTAACGGAGAGTGCTGCAACCGATGCAACAGTTATTCCTAACATCTCAGATTCTCTGACATGGGACTCTGCCAGTACCAACAATTTGACCACGCCAGCCCCCGGGCTGCAGCCACCGTATTGGGATTTGCCAGTCGTCATCACCTTGGCGTCGGTGCTGTCCATCGTCATGGTGATAAGCATCATTGGGAACTCACTCATCATCCTGACCATCATCTTCTTCAAGGGAATGCGGAGCAAGACCAATATGTTCATCACCAACCTGGCCTGTGCCGACCTGGGCGTCTCAGTCCTCTGCATGCCGTTCTCGCTGGCCACAGTCATCCAAGGCGACTGGACGTTTGGCCCGGTGCTGTGCAATGCCAATGCCTTCTTTGAGGCACTGTTTCTGGTGGCCTCTACCCATGGGCTCATGGCCATTGCCCTGCACAAGTTTTCCTCCCTGGTGCTGCCACTGAAACGCATCATCAACCTCCGCCGGGCGATTGCCATGGTTACCTTCGCCTGGTTCATCGGCCTCACCTGTGCCATTGGGCCCCTGGTCGGGCTCACCAAGAACGTCTACAAGCCTGGCACCTCACAGTGCGGGCCCAAATACCCGGAGAAACTTTCTGAGAAAATCATCGGGCTCTATGTACCCCTCGTGGGCATCATCATTCCGTTGACGTGCCTGATTCTCGTCTACGGCGTCATTTTCAACACGATTCGCAAATACAGTCGGCGGCTTCGCAGCCACACCAGCATGACGGAGGACAAGATTTTCCACCAGCAGAAGCGCATCACCATCACCCTCTTCATTGTCTTTGTGGCCTTCTTCATTTGCTGGACTCCCTACTTTGTATACTCAACCTTGGGATTTTCCCTCGGCTTCCAGAAAGTTCCCACAATCTTGAATGTGGCTGCATACTGGAGTGGTTACACCAACTCAGCACTCAACCCAATTATTTATGCATGGAGGGCCAAGTCGTACCGAAAAGCCTTCAGGAAGATCTTCTGCTGTAATGTTAAAGGCAGTCTTTTGTCTGGTAAGTTTCAAAACAACATTTTGTGAAAGTCGTTGGTAGCTAAATAGTAAAGCTAAACGATATCAGTATTAATTCAAATATTCATTGATGAAGTGTGTTTTTTGTTGCAGTACAGTTCTGTGCAAAGGTCATCCTGGATTTCAAATTTCATTTGTGTTTACAGAAATTAGGGCACTGTTGTTTTGGTGATGATGTTGGAAAACAATCAACATCTACAGATTACTTTTTATTTACCAGCTTCAGTGAGCTTTTTCCCCACATTATACATTATGTTGCAAAGATGTCAGTCTGTTACCACAGCAACACATATAACTTTACCAAATCCTTACAAAATCAAAATTTTTAAATGAAATCTCTATGGTAGAGAGACACTTGCAACAAAGAAACAACATTATTTTTAGGCCTTATATTTAACTTACCACCACGTGAAAGAATTGGATATCATTGTGAGAACCCCTACCAATACATCAATCAGTGTAACTTAAAAATTACCCTTTATTTAGACTATTTCCAGGGCTGCAAATTTAGAAAGGATTTTGGGGGACACATTCCCTTCTTGGTTACAATTTTTGATAATAATGGCTGGTGTTTGAAAATGTGTTTATATTTGTTGGAGAGGTGGAACATACCATGTACATTTTATTGTGCATATTCCTGTACATGTGTGCTACCTCTCTCCCACTTCTATTGCATGTAGTTTCATGTGTGTCTTTGTGTTCATCCCACTTCCCTATGCATGTGGAGTATTTGAGAATTTTGGCTGGAGAAATTTTTAGTGCATGCCCTCGGCACCTATAAAAGGAAGCCCCCTATTTTGGCAGAGGGGTTGTCAAGTAATTAAACATACTGTACGGTAAAAAGACCAGTTACCAATAACTTGATTCACTGGGGAAAAAAAGGAAAGAAAAGAAGCAGAGTGAGAATAAATTTGAAAACGAACAATTTGCATAATATTATCTCCATAATGCAGGGTTGGAATTGTATTGACAGGCTATTACATGCACATGTAGGTTGAAGGGGTTATAGTCGGTTAATAGATGCAAGTCTGACGACCCTGGTTCAATAGAAATTAGGGAGCCCAGTGCTGATCTGGTTGTTGTCTTGACCTAATTTCCAGACTGAGTGTCCTCTGAGGTTTTACTCCTGGGGCTGCCTGCATCAGCACGGCTTCAATTGAAAAACCATCAACTCCATGGCCATAGGCCTACAACTTGAATTGCCCTGTTTCTGAACAAAAGTTTCGTCCTTTTTTTCTGGCATTGGCAGGGACATGAGGGCATAAGAGAAACCAGTGATTCAACTTCTCATCTTAAGTTGTGAACAAATACAAAACGTTGAATTTACAAAATGTAAACAAGCTCAGCATTGTATTGCACTTTCTCAGTCAGTCCTCAAAATTCTAGGACATCCAAGACTTGTTCAGTTGGACAGTAACTTGAAAGAAATGTATTTATATCTGTATTTTGTTGTTGAGAATTTTAAATCTGACTGAATTATATTGTTTATTTCTTTATCTTTTCTACAGACACCGGGACAGCCAACAATGGGGGTAAGTTACATGTTTATCATTTTTTCAGTTAACTTACACTGTAGTTCGGTTTTCCGATAATTCAGGGAATCGCTATATGTTACCAGGTGGGTGAACTGCATGTGCTGATTGGAAAGGGCCTTGAAGATATATGTCGTTTTGTGCTTGAAGTTGAATTAGATGTATTTCAAGAAATCACATGTACGGTAGTTAAAGTTGTCAAACTGTGAACAGTGTGTTTTCCTGGAGTCAGTCATATTGAACTCCCTTGCCTGTCCAGTAACATTGCAAAGTTCTGCCATCTAGCAAGTTTCGTACAAAGATGTGTATCAACAGTTGATTTAAGCATTGCTTCATTTTCATGTGTACATTGTACATTGGGGTGTTTTCACCCGGGAAACTCCACAGGAGTAACCAAAATACTGACTTGATGTGACTTGGCACTTTTTAACAGAAGTTTCAATTTAATTTTAGGTTGGGCAAAGTTTTTTGGTTTGTTCTGTTTCCATATGGTAAGGTCTTAAATATTGCTAGAGCATCATTTTTAGCCCATTCAGATCTTAAAATTGAAAGTTTGGAATTTCAGTACACCCTACATGTACATACAATGTAGGCATACAATGAAAATGTAGTACTATACTGTTAACAGTGGAAGGGGCTAAGTTTTGATGGCGTTTCAATCAAATTGAGGATTTTCCTCCTCTTCTGTAGTCTCTTTTTAAATTTTTTTTTGGCATATTGTTCTTTTTATTTTCTTTTTTTTATGTTTTCAGTTTTGTCATGGTGCCAATGTTGTCATTTGTTATGCATGTAAATGTACCGCTGTGTGCTGCAGTGCAATGGTTGTTTTGAGGCAGAGGGGTAAATCTGCGGTTTAAAACAGGCGTTGCAAATTGCCATCTCTCTGCCATAATGGGTGTTGTGCCCAGCTGGCCTACAGAAACATTTGTGGCCAAAGTACATTAATCTGCATGAACATTAATCTGCAGTATAAGGAAATGAAAACGGAATTCTCATTACTCTGTCTCATTACTCTAGGATATTTAATCCCAGCTCTGTCTGCTCATATATTATGCCACCTGTTAGTGCTACATCGTTCCCTTTGGGGGACCTGCAAAAAAGTTTGTCTTACTGCCAGTTGTTTTGCTTCCATCAAATTCCACTCCCTCAGTCCGTCAATTGTATTCATCCAGTGGTATATGGGGAGAAACTTGCTGGGAGATGCATACATTTCGGCCAGTTTTACTTCAGTTTTTTTAGTTTTTGTCCATTCCGTATTTCAGATGTTGGGTACCACTTTTAGCCCTCTCATTTCTTCAGTTATGACTTAAGGTACACTTTAAAGTAAGACACATTTTTTGGTAATCAGTCAGGACTCGGGAAGGAAATGATAAATGATAAACCCTGGACCTGACGAGGGTTTGTTTAAGGGATCAGTTTCCATTTGATTTTCAGGGAATTTTGCAAGCCTCGGTAGAGTAAAACCAAAACTTCAAGGACCATCATGACCCCAACCATGAGTCTCAAAAATCCTTATTTTGATCAGAGCAGCTACCACTGCGTGTTCATGTACCTTCATGCTGGTTTCCGTTGTTTTACTTTGTGACTTTTTTTGGTTTACACAATATTTTCTTTAAAAAAAACCAAACAAACAAAGACAGCTCCAGCGTTGCCCTGAGGCTTAGCAGGTAAGTGTGTGGATTTTTTTGTATATGTACATGTAGTTGCTCGCTCATGTCAGCTTCTCTTTGTTTGTCGTCTTTTCTCCCCTGAACGCTGCAGATGTACAATACATAAATGTTCACTGTATTGCATCTTTGACAATAGATACATGTACATGTAGGTAGTGCTTGATTGAAAAGTAAAGTGCAGCCTGGGTATGGGCATCTTGACTCTTATCCCATAGGCATTAGAATATAGGCCTGTGTACTGAAGATATCACTTGGTTTGCATGTGTAGGTTTTCCTGTAGAGCCAGGCAGCCCAAATTTCACTGAGCACTGTAGGAAAGATGCAACCACATGTAAACAAAGTGTTGTGTCTCAGTCTAAAGGCCTGTTACCAGTGAACACTAAACATACGTAAATTCCATCGCTGTGTACTTGTATTTGCTCAAAGTTACATGTGCAGTTTAATATGTGTACATGTAGGTGGAAGAATCTTGCCTTCCATTATTTAACATGAACATGGCTCCCATCATGAAAGTAGCAATAACACAGCATCCAAAAAAGTTTATGAAATCCCACGCTTCCCCATGTTTGGAGCTGAACTTTACAGGTGTCTGAAGGTGTCTTCCACCTGCAAAGGAACACCCCATGTTTGCATGATAATTGCACAACTTGAGGAAAGGCAGCTTGCATGCGATTCTCACTGTACATGTTCGTTGCTGCCAATCTTTGGTTGGTGCAAGGCATGCCACATATTGACAGTAAAAAATCCTTCATGTACATGTAAACAGATGTATTTGGCAAGAGTGAAGCAACTTTAGGCAGTGCCAGTGTGCTGCTGCAAGTTTGATGCCGAAATAAATTCCTTGGAGTTTCGCATACTGAAGTGGACCGGCCAGCTCACTTCACTTTGTGATGGTAACGCCATTACCAGAATGTGTTGATTGAGCAGGCAGCAACCAAAGATTGATCACTCTCCTCCCGCCTCCTGCCTCTTTCCTTGCTTCTCCCCTTCATCTGCAATGCCATACCACGGTCATGCTTTGATGTCATTGTTTCCTGTCAAGACTGGCTTGCTTTTTACATGTACCTCAATGCACGAGACAAAAACTGTGTTCCTTACAATGTCGATGAATCAGAGTGATTCTTCCTTGGTGCTTGTTAGGGGGTGCAGGATTATTTAGACTGGCGCAATCAAATTTCGCCACCATTCATCAACAGGGACATACATGTATGTCTCATCACCAAGAGAAGACAGAGGTGCGTGCACCTATGGTATTAAGTGTGCTTTGTTTCCATAGCCACTAAGCAAACGCCTAGAGCAGCCCATAGCCAGCACTCACAGACACACTGCTGACAATATGGACCAGCTGAGCTCATGTTGTTGTTCATGCTCATTTGTCTGCGTGAAAGTTTATTACCGTAACTGGATCTGACGCCATATTTTTTCTTCTGTAATGATGAATAATCCACAAGTACAGTACCTGACAGTTTTATTGCTATTGCTTTAATCGTTTGCTTAAATGAGTCTGATGAGTGTTTTCATTGGCCAACATATTTTTCCTGTTGATGTCGGTAGTACATGTATGTGGGTATTTCTGTCTCTAATGACTCCAGGCTTTGTTTCCCTTTCAAGGAAAAAAGCGTCATCGCTGGAATGAGTCTCTGGGATGTATTTATTAAACTTTTTTGATGACAAAACGTAACTTTCACTATAGATGGTGATTTACATTTTCTAGTGAAAGTATATCCACTGAAGATACATGCATTATAGATATATCAATAAAATTGTCTTTCAGAGAAAAGATAACTTTGGGGAAGAAGGCCTATATAGAAAATATTTATGGAGGATGTAATTTGGTGGTGTTTCTTTCAGCACTTCATTTCATTAACGTGGCTCCAAATTGGCAAATATCCCCAAATGAAGTTGAAATCGTAGTCTCATGTTCGTGTACTTATATGTCTGTGTCCTGATGAAAGCTTGTAAAAAATCAAGCACCAGTTTGGAGCAGTGCTTACCATCACTAACAAAAGTCCATGGAGATGCATGCATGTATTACCCCATCACTAGATCCCTCTCCTCAGTGTATAGCAACCACTTCCCTGTGATGTCTTTTTTTCTGCATTTTATTCATTCATTTTTTTTGGGGGGGGGGCCCAGGCCCCAGATGTTGCATTTGATATTAACCAAGGTGGCTCGATACTCCCTTTTGTATTTAATTTATTGCAAGGCCACAGTAGTGAGATAGCAGTGAGTGGTGCCACATTGGCACAGCTAAATTGTTATCATTAATGTGTTTTGCATCAAAATTCCTTTGCCCTAAATGAAGTATGTACCATTGTTGATTGCACATTCCAGTGATGAGATTTGCATGGGAATTTAGGCCCTTCTGGCTAATTGCGTTCTTCTCTGCTCGGTTTGCTGGCATTCTGACTTAAATTTGTTAGTTATTAGATTGTGTGTAGATGCTATTGAGGAAAGTGAGGGGATTGGACTATTTTTTTAAGCATTTAAGTCCACAGTTTTGATTTGAAATCGTAGAATAGTTGCCAAAGAAAATTATGCATCTTTTATTTGAAAATTTGTTGAAATCATTCCTTGAAATTGGAGCTTCTGCCTTTAAGTTGTTGCAGACCCAGCTAATTACTGATGGCATTGCAAGGCCAGCCTCTTCTGAAAGGGTGACTGTACATGTATGTGGCATATGCTGTCTGTTCTTTACTTATATAGGTACATGTAGTTGTGCATGTCAATTCCCTTTGCATGCATTTCAAGGTGTAAAATATTTTGAAATGGGCACAAATTTTTCCACAAACTGAAAGTAGATACGTAGACAACATCTGAAGTGGCCAGGTGTTGCCGGGGCACACCAACACTGTGGCAAGAAGAGGAATGAACAGTGGTATTCAACGGCATCACTGCTTTTTTTATTACCGTGTTATTAGGGGTAGGACAGGGAGAAAGTTGTCCCCCCCTGCATGGATATGTTGCTTGTTTTAGGTCATTCAGCACAAATGATCAAAATTAATTTATATCTACATTGTTCCATGTACACAGGAATAAGAGCTTTAGTGTTTTATCCATTTCTGGGAGAAAACACCATTTGGGCACACACTTTATGCATGTGTAGAATGGATGGAGTCACTGGCGGCAAAATTGGGGGGGAGGCCAGGGAGGAGCCAGTGGCCCCCACTTTTCACGGGGGATCCCCCTCCCGCATTTTGCAGGTCGTATAATGGGGCAAGGCATATTAAATGGATCGGCCTATTTATGGCTGATGCATATGCCTGATGGTTTCATAACTCCCCCACCCCACTTTGAAAATCGTACCGCTGCTGTTGCCTTGAGCATACATGTAGCATCAAGTTTCTACTGCAAATACAGTTCTCGATCACACCTGCACCATATGCATGTGCATGCCATGCACGGCATGCCATGAACCCTGTTGGAAAGCTTCCCACTACACTGTCTTTTCCATTGCAAGGGCAGTTCTAGTCAGAGTGGATTGGATGGAGGAAGTATTTGCTGAGCTGTACATCACTTTCTCAGAAAGCCGACAAGCAAAGATGTACCCTGAAACCTGTCATGTACTGCATAGTTCCAACACACCGTAGCAAACACACGTTTCTGCCAAGGCAGCCTTTGTCCACTTCTCAAAGATTATTTTAAATTAAGCAGCAGGCACAGAGACTTATACAGCAATCTGTATACGCCATTTACTGTAGGAATGTAAAAGTGAAAATTTCCATGGTCTGGCAAGTCTTGGCAATTAGCCGCTGTGTGGTACACATGTACCAGTGTATGCACAAGTTTTCAAATAGCTGTGAACCAATTAACCCCGTCAGTGAAATTTGGATGTAATTCTAAATCCAATGAGAGAGTTTTTATTAATCAGAAATTTACAAATTGTCATGTTGGCTTGAGTACATGTACATGTCAGTGTGTGTGTTTCTTGAGCTAAGGCCACGCCTTACACAGGTTTGCTCCACGTTTGTAATTGGATCTGGAGCATCAGCTACTGTGTTCTTCTGACAATTTTTTTTATTTATTTCTGAAATTTGCATTGCATAACATCATCAGATAATTTGTGGGTCATGTCAACAATAAAAGTACCGGGATGTCAATGCTCGAGAGAGAACTTGAGGAATTTTCTTCTGGCTGTGTAAACTCTCGTCTAAGGACTGTGTAAGGTAATCCCCATCCTTCTGGGAAGTCAAAACTGCTGCAGGGAGTGCTGGATGAATTTTGGTTTATGTTCGAGGGGGGAGATGTATTTGGACACGTGTTGAGGTGAGACTGATCTGAATGTTGACGGTGAGAAGGGGTAGGGATTAGGCAGCAGACAGCTTGCCAAATTAACTGTCCTAGCCGCCCAAGATTCTTCTTTCTTGCATTAATCGGATTCCTCTGCATCGTGTGCGTGAGTGTGCAACAGTGAGGGCTCTGCATTACCAAGGGATAGCCTCCCTTGAAGATCAGTCACCAGTTGGTGCCTGTGTGTTTGTGGAGCCTCACGCATGACTGACTTTCATTTAGTACTCATCATCTCTAAGCACCAGTGTGGGCCTAAATATCCATAGGCCCTACACCGCAGTGCTGGGACCTAGCACGCCACGTACGTTTGGCTAGAGTAGCCAGGAACACAAGCGCTACGGCTGGAGAAATCTATGCACGAGTGAGCTATGAAGCTTTTGCAAAATCAAGAATTAAGAGAGAGCACCTTTGCTTGTGTGTTTTGTAATTTATAGCACAGCCATATGGTTTGCCTTCCAACTTTTCTACATTCTTGTCCCAAGGCACAGTGACTTCTGTGTTGTTATGCTCCTATAGTTGGGACAGTGTACACGCTGGTGGAATAATTAGGGAGCCCACCCTATCAAAGTGGTCTGCAATTGTGATCTGTTGCTAGGTCTGTTTAATTCCTGAATCTGAATCTCCAAGCTCTTATCCACGCATGCGCATTTGACAATGTATGAATATTTATAGATGAATGAATACATACATACATACATCGCACGTGTCATTTGAATAATCAGCCTCTGAGTAGGAGTTTTAATTGTGGCCATTAACAATTATGTAAACAGTAGTTTGTCATTCGCATAAAATCTACGGATTATCAAATCAAATTTGCCTTGCATTTTGGGGAGGTTTGTTCTTTCTCATTTGAACTGTTTATATGCCTGCGGTAACCCAATTTTATTTTCCTTGACCCAGAGCTAGACCCAGTATATTGACTCCAGAGCTAGTCTGCAGAAAAAGCTCATGTTACCAGCAGGTGTGGGGCCAGCAGGGCGTCATGTCAGCACAGAGCAAAAAGGGAGAGAAAGGTTCACCATCCCCATGTGTTGAAGTCCATGGTAAATTTTGCCATTCTTCAACCCCTTTCATTCTCCAGCTGCTTGTCTTGATCCACCCATATCCCGCACCCTAGCTGCACCTCATTGAATCACCATCCCTCCTAGGCCTGCTCTGTGTTAAAAAATAATGCTGCACCCGAGCTCATAGTCTACTTCAACAGTTGTTTTTACAGGTAGACATTTAGGCATTGTTCCGCAAGGTCATTAAGTTTCAGTTTGGCAGAAATGCTTCCAAGTGAGGGAAAGATGATTTGTTTCCAGGATCACTGCATTCTTGGAATTAGTGCATGTGGGGTTTTGAGGGACTTTCCCAGATTGTGGGGTTGACATATGGTATGAATGTACTTTGTCTTCATGTAAGAGATTTCTGCAAGGCTATTTTTAGAAATTGTTGAATTTCTGAGCATTTGGAAAAGTGCATTGTGGGGATTGAGTCAGTAGTAAGGATAGGGAATGGCACATAATAAGTGACTTCTGCTTGGTCCTAGACATCTTTAAGGTCTGTAGTTGGGTGAAAAGCTGATTATCTACCCAAGGAGGCCCCTTATGTGGATGGAAACAGGATGGGGAAAGGGAGGATCACATTGAAAAAGAATTTTCTGCTTCAGTAATTTGCTCTAATAGTAAATCTCGAATCGCGACTGATTCTTGGAATCACTGAACATGAGTCTGTGAGCCAGGGACTCCTGGCAAGTGAGAAAAGGTTGCACTTTTGAATTAAAGGTCCAGCTTAATAACTGACAGACATTTTAGTATGCCAGTGCCTTCAACATCTATGAAAGAAAAGGAGATGGAAACTGCACTAGTACAAGGCCATTTTCCAGTGCTTAACTTTGGCTCCGTCTCAGGCTTCAGCTGTTTTTTTACAACCTGACTTTGAAGCTGGAAGCGCAATGATTAGTCTAATAGTGCCACAAAACATCAAATATGTTGCAAGAAAACAAAAAATTACAGAAATCCAATTTGATTTAAATGCCTCAGGCCCACAATTGGGGATGAAGCCTGAGACGGAGACGAAGTTGAGTATTGGACAATGGCCCAAAGCAGAGACAGCACTGAAACACAAAAATATGGGCCTGCTTTGTTCTTTGCTTGCAATTGTGGTATGTTGGCATTTCACGAAGCCTATAGTCGAAGGATGATTTTCATTGGCTTTAGTGTACACTTTTTTGTTGCGGGAGACATTCATATCTTTGACTTCTTTGAATTGGAAACATTACTCCACTTGTTTTATTTATTAAGAATCAAGTTCTCTTGGTTGCCAATTTTACATGGGGTTTGCTCTAAGTAGATTCCAACATGATTTCAAAGATTGGGCAGTTTAAGGTGAGGCACAGGCTTTTGAATTTGCTTTAAAAACTTGTACATGCACACGTGCTCTGTATCTGCCTCTGATACTGCTTGCTCTGTAGAAACTGGTGAACTAGGCATACTGAACATGTTTGCCTGCAAATAACCATTTCCAATCATGGTCTTTGATGACTTCGAAATTGTTAGTAATTCACTGCAACACTTCCTTATTATATATTAAAATTTTGTTTAAGCAGAGTGCCCATTTTTGTTTGGCCGGGGAAATTTGGGGTCAATGTAAGGTAACAGAAGCAAACTCTATTCCAATCATGGAATTGCCCAAGCCTACTGTGCTGCTCAACCCAACCAGCACAATATCTGGCTTGCACCACTTGAGTGAAAATGTTTCCATTTCTGTGTCCACTCACAAACTCATCGAAAAGTACTTAATCCCATATTTGGAAAATGGATAGTGCAGAAGGGATCAAATTTTACACGCATTTTCTTAATGCCTTTTGTGAGAGGTCAGTGTATGTGGTGTCAATCTTATGCATGGTACGCTTGGTGTGGAACCATGAATGAAAGATGTCCCCATTATGCAGTTTGTGCAAACCTTGTGTGGACCAATCACTTAAAGTTACATGCTGGAAAACTGTTCTAGAGGCGCTTCTGGGTTAAAGTTTTTCTAAAGAAAAACAAAGAGGAACAGTCAAGGAAACCATCAACAGAAGTCCAACACAACGATAATATTCATAGTCCAAGAAAAAGGAGGATTTTCACCAAGTTTAAGGAATGTCTGCACTGCTAGGGTATGTAGTGGGATATAGCAGGTTTCACATGACGCTGTTACCCAGATTATCTCGAGGTTATTGAAAAATTAAACCCCAAAATAACCCAGGGTATTGGGCCCATTCATGCTGCCTTTCTCGGCGTTAGAAATCCTCCTGGTTAACTGCCTCAAAACGCCACTAGCCCAGGTAATTTCTAACCTTACTCCCAAGGTGGGTTAACCCACCGATCTCAGGGTTCCCGGATAAGGTGGCCTCGACAATTCTCTGCATTACCTTCAGCAGTGTCTAGTGCCCGTTACCTTTTTTTGTTGAACAGACAGGACAGCGCATTATTTTCACATGTACTTCATATGGAGTACAGTAACTTTTCGTTTAGAATTAATTTTGTGTACGCTATTCGCAAGGCACTAGTCGCGACCTCATGCTGCACACTTGAACATACGTGGCTTTACCGATATATGTTTTTTGTTTCACATACGCTTGTTTTTCATTATCTATGGCAAAACAGGCAAAATTCAGAAGTACAATCAATGCTAGGGGTTTCCAATGTCATGACAGGCGCCATTTTGCTAAGATTCTGTAGTGTAGGAGATTGAGCTACATGCACGTGCACCCGATTTTCCGGGTTGCCGCTCTTGCGAATTACCCTGGTTCACACGAAAGTGGGTAAGCTACTGCTAAACTGCGGGGTGAAGTTTTGTAGTGTAAAACCGATTATCCGGGTTAGTTCCTACCGGGCAATGAACAACTACCCGGGTAATTAATTACCTGGGTAAGTCCAAATTAGTGTGAAAAGCGATCATGCATGAGCCCGCATGTATTGATAGAGCCTGCATATGTAAATATGTCACTTTTGTATTCAAAGGCCCACTTTTATTACAAAGAAGTCAATTACTTTCAGCCTGGATGGGGGGGAGGGTTTTGCGGTCAACCCTCCCACTCAGACACAAACAATAGATAAATAAAAGATAACCAAATACTTTAAAATGAAATGAAATTATTGTAACAGTTCATAAAAGGACATCCTACTGCGTCCATAAAGGTAAGCCTAATTATGTTTCTGCCTGTCCACAACAATTGGACATGAAAAATTCTGACTGGCATGACTCCCTCCTCTCCCCCAGAAAAATTCCTAGATTTGCCCCTGTAGTTGTGCACTTAGCTGAGCTTATAGAGTAATTGTTTACTGCCCTGAGTCGGTTTTGTCATTGCTCAGAAAGAGAGCATAGTTAATTGTGTCTTTTAACTTATGAAGATTGATTTTCAACATGGTTGACATCACCCACGGGCAATTTCTGTGACAGGTAGTGTCATGCCCGGCAGATTTTAATTCAGTAGAGGATTTATGGTAGCTTTATTTATTGTGAACGTGAAGCTTTTTTCTATTTACCTCCTGATTGAGTTGCCACCAGGGACTGTCCCTAATGACAGTGGGTTTTTTCTTTGTCTTTTACACAAGCAGTCAATACTTCATTATTTACAAAGTGACAGCTAAATTGCATTTCTCTGAAAGCAGGTTTTCCCCAGATGTTGAGCATAGGATATAGTTGCTTGGCACTTTCTGAATCAATTAACTAGTACTGAAGTTTAGAATTGATGATAAAGTAGATGAAAATGGTATTTTCAAGGAAACGCGGGCTGAGAAAGACCCAATCTATGGAGCAAGGGTTGATCTAGAAAAAACTGACTATTTCGTTACATGATATACATTATATGAACTTCCCGAAGATGTTAAGTCAAATTTGGGGGCATTTTATACTGTTCATTATAAGATGCATGTGATACAATGGGAAATGACATTGATGTATGGCCACACGGCGGAAAATGCACAAAGTGCCACTGTATTATAGCTCTGAGCACTTGTGTTATGGGGGTTGCAGGTTCGAATCCCACACCAGTCAATTTCTTTGTCCAGCTTTATATATTTATTATGTAAGCACTTCATCACTTTTGCTGCATGGCTTATGTGACAAGGTGAAAATCCTCTGCAGTGAGCAATGTACAAACTGTATGAAATGTAATGTAATGAAAATCTTCAGTGCAGTTGTTTGTGTAAATATCTCCATACTGTATGCACATCTGTCCCATTTCCACTTGTTACAATCCCCGGATAATTGTCTTCATTTGAGCACAAAGAGGGTATTGATTGAAGCCTCAGGTATGTACATATAATTATTATTACATGTATATGTAACAGATGGACTTCTCTTGGGAAAAAAATTACCCCTTCTGTGGGTTGGAGTTTATGGCTTTGTTTTTTAACAAGCTCTGTCCTGCCCAAGACGAGTGTAACAAGGGTGAAATTTCTTAGGGGCATGGGGGAATACACTTTTTTCAAGTGGACTTTTATTACCAAACTGGGCACCGTGAAGGTATGGACTTCAGCTGTGGTACAGGAAATCACACGTGCAGACATTTCTTCGGTTATTTTGGTCACTGATGTGTCTGTGTCACTGCTTCTTTTGATCTGAAAGACGTTATATATCAACATTTACTTATTCACCAGTACATACATACCTGTGTACATACATGCAGTAACAGCACTACAACCCCTCCCCAAAATCATTATTAGTACAAAGAAGAAACCTCAATTAATCATTCTCCCAAACCTTAAGCCCACCGCACGCCAGAGCTGTATCTGACCCGAAAGTAATTTGTAGCCGTTTCCTGAGCTTGTACCTCGTAGCTCAATGTGCACAGTCAATATTTGCTGCGCTATCTTCCGTGAGGCGAAGTTATCTGTCCTGATTGATATTTGTGAAACGGCTCACACAGCAGAAAACTCAAGTAACAGCACATAGTTAGGTACATGCTGTGGGAACAACCTGGTGTGATTCTATGCTCAGCAGACAGATAGCTCAGGTGTACAGCTGGCTCTGGTGACATACATGTATTCAGTTAATGTACATGTACGTGGCA